AGTGTCCTACAAGAGTGTCCCACAAGAGTGTCTCACAAGAGTGTCCTATAAGAGTGTCCCACAAGAGTGTCCTACAAGAGTGTCCCACAAGAGTTTCCTACAAGAGTGTCACACAAGAGTGTCCCACAAGAGAGTGTCCCATAAGAGTGACCTGCAAGAGTGTCCTTTAAGAGTGTCCCACAAGAGTGTCTTACAAAAGTGCCCCGTAAGAGTGACTCATGTCCTACAAGAGTGTCATTTGGGCATATGGATCGTGTTTGCATTCGGGTTCGTGGGTTCCATCTTGTTTGTTGCCTTATGCTCATTTTCGGAACGCGTATGTTAACATCGCAGAGGACCAAACCTGGATGCTCAAAGATTAAATTCTCAAGCCACACATCGTTGGCCAATTTCCGCCTGCAAGGAGTTTGCCTGCAAAAACCATTGTTTTCGAGCAAAACCATGTAAGCGGAAGGGTAAAGAAAGAGGAAACACAATTATATATATGGTTATATTTCTTATATATATGGTTATATTTCTTATTGTATACTATATGTATGGACTGTATTTTCCAGAATTGTGGTTTTCAGTCTCTCGATTCAGTGGACAATATGCAGGCTTAGAGTCAACAGACCACATCAGTTGTTTTGGACAATTTTGTTGGTCACAGTGACAGCCTTGTGCCAGAATCTACGAAATTCGTCCCGGTGCTGGTTTCCTGGATGGCTTCGAACAAGTGGAAAATGTTGGTCGGGACATGGGCGCGGACACCTGATCTTGATGCTTGTCTATCCTATTCTCTAGGAATCTCTACATTCTATATTATTTACGTGGAAATCTCGAGTTGTCGTCTCTACTTTCCTTGACAGTTTTCTTTAAATTGAGGCTATGCAAGTTGGTTCTATTCCAATTTCTAAAGAGATCAATACTTTTCTATGTAGTCTGTTGAAACCTCGACTTGTTCGTCACTTATAATTGCTTCGTGTACTTTCCTCTAGAATCCCCCCTTCCAGAATTTCCAGCCGCTTTGAAACTTTGTTGCAATCTCTGCAAGTTGGAGCCCAAAGTCCAGTGCCAATGCAGCCTGGTGCAGCCCTGCCACTGTATTACTCAAACCCTGAGTTGCATTCCGTAACGGAAGTGTTTCTTGAAAACTTTATGAAACCCACAATCACCTTTCAACTGGCACATGCGCCGCAACCGGGCCAGACATGCCAGAACCTTCAAGTCAGCAAGTTTCCTTTCCGCTCTTTCCCACTGAGTTTCTGTGAGTCAAGGAGAGAATTGCATGAATCATGTGCATTTAAGAAGATCCTGTTGCTCATTTGTTCTTTTCCGAGCGTGTTGCTCAACGATTGAAAAGCAAGCCTTCAAGAGCCAGCAATAATAGAGGCTTTGTTGTGTGATATTGAGGCAGAGGTACAAGTTACGCTTCTTCAACAAACAGCCTTCATGTTCATGTCAAGCTAGGCTGCGGCAATTCTTTCAAAAACTATGGAGCGTCTAAACTGTTGGCCATATGACATGTTTGGTCATGTATTTGCCCAAACTTCCCGCAATGCTACTACTCTGTGGTTTGATTGCCGGCTAAGACCACATTGCGCGAGAGTTCTACCATTTGCTGTTTTCTCAGTTGGGAGTGACATTGCATCATTCCGACATTCTATTCAAATACAAATGGTCTTGGATTGGCAAAGGGCTGCCTTGTCTGACTTACTTTGCATCACAGCGTCAATGATATTTGGGAAGCAATAGAGACCATGCTTGCGATGTCTCTCAGGTTCCGTAGTCCCTTGCGCACTGTGGATGCCTTCTTGTGCTGTGGCCTGAGGAACCAGCAACAGAGATTTAGGTTCAGCCAGGCTTAGGAAGTCTCCGTCAATGTCAAACACCTATGTCAATGTCAAATACAATTAGTACAACCACTGCATCCCCAACGTCTGCTGCAGTTTATATAGTTGTTGGATGTTGTTGGGACAGTTGTTGATTCCGCTGACACTCTAGATTCGCCTGTAGAACTTCGCACCAGCAAGAAGACAAGCACATGTTTGCTATCAGTTCAAGGTGTCATGCTCCCTGTAGTAGTGCCTGGTACAAAAATATTCCGGGAAACTGACTCACAGCACAACCGAGGTTCCATACCAATCTTTTGGTGTCAGCTGTACCAACACTTCCGAAAGCCCATCCTCGGAGTCATGGACTGCTTTCTTTCGTGTTTATCGGCTGTGAAGAAATGGTAGCCGGGCACCATTAAAGGCCAACATTCTGTGTGATATTACCGCTCTAGCAAAACAGAACAAGAACTTCAGAAGCACCCTCAAAGAATCCTGTGGCAATGGCTCATTCGTTTGTGTGGGTCATAGTCATACCCGTACTGCTGTACCCTTGAGGACCAGCCCATTTTCTTGTTCGTGCAGAGGCAACTGCGCAGCGCTTGGCCGCAGAACCTAGATTCCTAGATGAAGTTGCAGAGAGTGGGTTGTTCTTTCCTTCTCCGCATGAACGGTAGTTGTTATTGGTCTTCCTGAGACGCAAAGGCTGGATCGCTTTGAGCAGCTGGTCCTTGTCTCAGGACGTTTTTGGTCTACGACGTCAGTTACAAAACCCCTTGCTTGAAAGATTCATTCATAGCAACAGATAGCATTTGCTTTGTATTCACATCCTATTTTCCTCGAGTCTTTGTAACAGCGTATTTGTGAGGAAGCCCTCAATCTCTCCCTTTGTTTGTTCTCCACAGTTTTCGCAACATGTACATTGACCCTTCTTGTGGCATCGGCAATGTTTGAGTGTTGGAAGGGTAAGCAACAGAGGCCGTGGTTGTGGGTGTGCTGTAATGTGGAAGACCGTCAAACAGGTGTTGATGGTCAGAGACACGGAGCGCCTTCCAAAGGAAGCCTCAGGATACCTAAGTCTAAGTCGAAGTAGATATATCTATGCCTGACATGCCCCTCTCATTACAAGCAAATCGCGTGTGACGAGGCAATATACAATACAGTTATATCAAGGTTGAAGGCCATCGCTATTAGGTTGGAGGCCTCAAAAGAAGGTTATATTGTAAGGGCTCCGCCCTGGTGCCGCCGACCCCTTTTTTGTGAGACAAGGCAGCATGGCGAGGAAGGCAACAACCGAAGTTGGACATAGTGCTCCCCAGCTACTCTGCGTACTAAAGTTGTATTGCTAAGTCGCCACTTCTCATCTTCCAGCTCCACAGCTATACTCCGCGTACTAAAGTTGTACTACGCAGTCGCCAGTTCTCAGCTTCCAGCTCCACAGATTCCTCCGCGCACTAAAGTTGTACTACAAAGTCACCAGTTCTGAGCTACCCGCTCCCCAGCTACTCCGCGTACTACAGTTGTACTACAAAGTCGCCAGTGCTCATCTCCCAGCTCCCCAGATACTCCACGCCCTCAAGTTGTACTACCCACTCGCCAGTTCTCATCTTCCCGCTCCCCAGCTACTCCGCGTACTAAAGTTATACTATACAGTCGCGAGTTCTCACCTACTACCCACTCATCAGTTCTCATCATCCCCCTCCCCAGCTACTCTGCGTACTAAAGTTGTATTGCTAAGTCGCCACTTCTCATCTTCCAGCTCCACAGCTATACTCCGCGGACTAAAGTTGTACTACGCAGTCGCCAGTTCTCAGCTTCCAGCTCCACAGATTCCTCCGCGTACCAAAGTTGTACTACAAAGTCACCAGTTCTGAGCTTCCAGCTCCCCAGCTACTCCGCGTACTACAGTTGTACTACAAAGTCACCAGTGCTCATCTCCCAGCTCCCCAGATACTCCACACCTCTCGCCTGCATTTCGCCACTCGACGCGCACGGTCTCCGCAGAGGGTTGCGCAGGCATCCGCCAAATCGCACTCTCGCCTGTATTTCGCGCACTCGACATGCACGATCTCCGCAGAGGGTTGCGCGGACACCCGGCGAATCGCACTCTCGCCTGCATTTCGCGCACTCGACACGCACGATCTCCGCAGAGGGTTGCGCGGGCAGCCGGCAAATCGCACTCTCGCCTGCATTTCGCGCACTCGACACGCGCGATCTCCGCAGAGGGTTGCGCGCACAGCCGGCAAATTGCACTCTCGCCTGCATTTCGCGCACTCGACACGCCCGATCTCCGCAGAGGGTTGCGCGCACACCGGACAAATCGCACTCTCGCCTGCATTTCGCGCACTCGACACGCACGATCTCCGCGCAGGCCGTTGCGGACCATGAGAAAAAGGGAAATGGTGTGCCACAGCCCAGCAAGTGGGGATTGAAGGGCAGTTTCGGCCACTAGAAAAAAAGGAGTTGGTGCGCCAGAGCCCCGAGCCGACAGTCTGTGCAACTTCACCCACAGTCTCGCACAGAGCCCAGAGCCCACAGTCTAGCAAGTGCGAGGTTTTGGAGCGTCTGAAGCGTCCAGAATCCAGAAGTATGGCAGAACCATTGGCAATTTGTCGAGGGGTTTGAGGGGATTGAGGGGTTTGAGAGGTTTGAGACGTGTGAAGGGCAGTTTCGGGCCACTAGAAAAAAGTATTTGGCGCGCCAGAGCCCCGAGCCCACAATCTGCGCAACTCCGCCCACAGGCTCACAGAGCCCAGAGCCCACAGTCTGGCAAGTGCGAGGTTTTGGAGCGTCTGAAGCGTCCAGAATCCAGAGGCTGCTCCGGCGCGCCAGCGCCCCGAGCCCACAGCCTGCGCAACTCCGCCCACAGTCTCGCAGAGCCCAGAGCCCACAGTCTGGCAAGTGCGAGGTTTTGGAGCGTCTGATTCTCGCAGAGCCCAGAGACCACAGTCTAGCAAGTGCGAGGTTTTGGAGCGTCTGAAGCATCCATGGAGCGTCTGAGCCCACAGTCTGGCAAGCGCGAGGTTTTTGGAGCGTCTGATTCTCGCAGAGCCCAGAGCCCACAGTCTAGCAAGTGCGAGGTTTTGGAGCGTCTGAAGCGTCCATGGAGCGTCTGAAGCGTCCAGAATCCAGACGTATGGCACAACCCACAGCCTGCGCAACTCCGCCCACAGTCTCGCAGAGCGCAGAGCCCACAGTCTGGCAAGCGCGAGGTTTTGGAGCGTCTGATTCT